GTGGAAGAAAAAGACACACAACAGACGCAGCTCTCTCTTTACATTAACACTGTTTCAACCCATTCGCTTTTTTTTTTTTTTTTTAACTCATTCCCCTTTTCAGAACATTGAAAAGATTTCAACACCTAATGAAAAATGTGTGTGTTTCTAAACTATATTTCCAGCCATATAATAACTATAATAGATGTTGGTCTGGTCTTTACATTTGTATATATATATATATATAATTACACTATGTGTTTTTCTTATTGTAAATATCATACGTATTTAGCACCTTTCATTTTAAATTCTCTTCCTATGAACAAAGGCCCCTAATGCATAATGCCTCCACCACCATGCTTTATTAAGGCTCAAAGACTTTATCCCAGAGATGGATGTGATTGAACATAGTGATAGTCAAAACAATAAAGTATGATACATTCTGAAAATAAAAATAACTCTTGCATATGAGCTGCTTGTTACACATGAATTACCTAAGGATGAATCACTCTGTCATGAAGCCCAGATGTTTTAATCTGCTGTAAAGCACTCTGAAGGACAAACCCATTTTCTGCTCTGCGCTTTCTTTAATGTTTCCTTTGACATCTGTCATCATGGTGATTAAAACCTTTCTTAGCTCAGCTTGTATTAACTTGTGAATAATGTGAAACAAATTAGAAAGAATGTGATGTCTGATTTTGCTACTGAGAAGGGGGGAAAAAATATATTGGTATGTTTTAAGGCAGTTTAGCCCAAATGACAGGCAGGTTGGGAAGGAAATGATTCTGCCTCGTCCCAACCTGAGTGACATCTGACATAAACTGAGTTTTGATTATTAATCCTAGTGTCCTAACCGCCCTGATGAATTGCATTCTCTCCTGAATAACCTCTATGCTGCCATGTCTCTTAAACTTTGCTTCATAGTCCATGCATGTCTGTGTAAGACAGCATAACTAATAAAGGCATACGCGTTTTTTTTTTTTAGCAACCCATTAAACTCCCTTTCAATGCTCTTAGTTTCCTGTGCTATCACATTTTCTTTTCTCCTGCCTCCCTATTGTTTCCAGCCTCTTTTTTCTCTCAGTAACTGCAACTCTAACCCTGGGGAAAAACTGCTTTGCTAATGACATGTGCAGACTGGGTGTTGTAGAATGGGACATTAATGATGCCTGAGTGTGACTCACTTGAAAGGAGTTGTTACCCTCAAAGGTTTTTTTTTTCTCTCTCAGCTCCAGTGTCAACATGCAAGAAACAAAAAAGCAACACATACACATCACCTCCTATCTCTACACTGCAGTGAGGCTGCTGCCACTGCTGGTTAGTGAGAAACCTGTCCCCCCCAAATAAACAATTGATACATGGCGCCATCTGCTGTCAGGTTGGCATAAAAGTCATCTTAAATTTATTTATAAAAAGCAAAATCATTGCAGCTCTTAAACATTTTCAAATACATTGGCATAAGTTTGGATATGTATGCACATTTCCTACTAATAATATGGCAAAATAAGTTAATTATAGAGTTTGAAGAATTAATTGATGTCTGGAATCTGTAGGAAAGTATATCAAAAAGAAATTTCCTCATAAGGCAATATGGCCTCCTTTAGACTTAATGTATTTAACTTGATAAATGGAACCTAGTTGGTGTCAAAATTCCAACACTTTTATAAAAGCATTTACATCAGCATAATACCTTAAGACATTGTTTTGTGGCATTTTGCAACTTAAAAGCAGTGTTTGTGGGTAGAAGTTGCCTTATTTTTTTTTTTACTTTTATCACTGCATAGGATGTACTTCTTTCCAATGTGAAGGTAGCTTTGAATCCTAAAGAGAGAAATGCACAATACTTTGATTCAAATCTACCTCTAAACTCTAGGAAGGCCAAGTGCTCTTTGGCAAGTTTGGATATCTTTTAAATACCATATGCAGTTTGTCCCCCACCACCACCATTATGGAGGACCAACTCTGCCATATTTAAAAATAAATACAAAAATAAATAAATGCTCAAAAAATAAATATTTTTTATTTATTTATTTTTG